AAAAGAAAAGAAAAGAAAAGAAGTCAATCAATAACAAATGCTAGTGGGAATGCACAGGAAAAAAAAAGACACTTTTTCACTGTCAGTGGGAGTGTAGAAGGGTATAACCGCTGGGGAAATCAGTAAGGAGATTCTTCAAAAAACTAAAACTAGAAGTTCCATTTGACCTACCTATTCCCTTTCTTGGTATCTTCCCAAAAGAATTAAAAGCCTCAGACCACACCAATATATGCCACAGCCATGTTTATAATAGTACACTATGTAACAATAAATCCTGGAAACAATCCATAGTTTAAAGGCTTAAGAAACCTGGTAAATTCTGTGTTTTGTTACCTTCAGCAGCATCAAGATGACTAACACAAAAAGGCACATTCTTTCACTTCCACAATTTTTACCCCAATTGTGACTACCAAAGTGTTGCCTTCAAAAAGAAATGGTTGTACTGTTAAGTGCAGTAAATCAGACCTGCACGTGCAGATGTCATACTGTCTTGCTAGTGTAAGAACTGGAAAGAGTAATTAAAATCTGAAAGTTATATTAGATACTGTGAAAGGGAAAGAATCTGCTCACTGGGAAGGAAAAACTAGGATGAGGAAAAGGACAAAAGAAAAAAGGAGAAAAGGTATATTTCTGTGCATATGCAAGATTAGCTTGGATAACTGACCTGCTGATTTCTGCTGGTCCACTAAAAGGAGCAGTTAATACTTTTTTTTTCCTTTTTCTTTTTTGTTTTTCCAATCCTGCATGCTCATTTCTGGTAATCTAAACAACTATTTAGAAAATAGTATTATGCACTACACAGTCATTGTCAAATTCCTATTTTTTGTGTTTGGTGAAATCCTGTATCATTTCTATTTTTTTTTTCTTTTTCTTTTACCATATTGTATTCTCTTTAAAAATAAAAAGGATTAAAAATAAAAAAGAAATGTTGATAATTTTTATAATTATAAATTCAAAGTTCTGTCAAATTTGCTGGCATACAAATTTCAAATATAAATATGTATATCTAATAGTCTCAAGATCAAAGTATATGTAGAACAGTTTTATTCATTTCTAAATGTTCATCAACACATTAAATTTTTTTATTTTTTTATTTTTTAATGTATTTAGTACAGGATCTCCAGGGTCTCACTACACAGATCAGACTTATAGTGATCCTCCCTGTTTTTCAGCCTCCCAAGCACTTGGAATGACAGGCGCATGCCACCACGCCCAGTCTCATCCAATGCCTCAGTGCGCCCCAGGGCTGGGGCTGGCATAGTACACCAGGTATTAAACCCCCATACCTGCCTCTGCCTCAGCAAGCACTTTAATCTGCTGAGCTATCTGGCCAGCCCTCAATATTTTTTATTTTAAAAAATATGCTTATGGAAGTTATAACATCTACTCTGTACCTAAGTGGATGTTTTAAAATACATTTATAGAGAAATATATTCAGTGATTTTAGTTCTACTTATTAGAAAGCAATATAAACATTTACATGTACATAAAATAATAGCACTACACATACCCGGGGGGCACATTTCAGAACACATTTCACATTGCAGTGATGCCAGTGTTCTACAAAAGCCCACCAAGCTGTACAGAGAAGACACTCCTTAGTTATATATTGCAAAATACAGCTCAGAGCCTCTCCAGAGAAGGAACACTTGCCCAACACCAAAAGATCGATGCATACACTTGGAGATGACTCCTCCCCTTCTTCCTCTTCCAGCCACACAGAACCACAGTGAACATGCACATATGAAAACACAGACACTGCCAGCTCTTTCGGTATTCACAGTATTTAATAGAAAGACACTTACACCTTCAACAAGATTACCTTAAGCAATCTAATGGCGGTCACCCAGCACGTCCTACTCAGCTCTTCTTCTGCACAGAGCATTTTCAGGTCTCGGGGCCCTCCCGCTTTGTTAGGCTAGAAGGCCACAGCACATTGTTTATCGTTAATGCATATCTCGAAGGTAAAACCTGTTGAAATAAAAGCCACTAAAATTCTCCTATATATGAGAAAGCTCTCTCTTTTAAAATGAAATTAAAAGAAACCCAAGCTTACCTAAAAGACTGAGGCTTGTTTTATTCATCTATCAAAATATTAAGCCTGTACCTTAAAGCAGAATCCATAGCTAGTTGGTGCTCCGTGGGCTTTTTTGCCTGCCAGTGACACATAAACATCACTATTGCCAAATTCACTGAAACACTGCAAATGCCGTGGTTCCTTGAAAAAAAGAAAAATGATGAGATCAGACCACTACATGTGTTGAAATGGATATGTATTTTGCAATATTCTGTTTGCAATTCCACTATATTACATAATATATACCTTGGGCAAAAATTATCACAAACAAAATCTCAGTGTAAGAGCACAAAAACCAAGACCAAAAACAACTGCAAAAAAAAAAAAAAACTAAACTAAATTACTTTTTCTTTGTAAATAAACAGGATCTATACACAGTTTTATTTAAATTGACAAATGGTAATCCGTTTATGATTTAATTTCCAATTATATATATTTGGAAATATAGAAATATAGTTATAAATATTTATGTATTCATATGTATCTCAGTATATACTTAACAAACATAATACCCAAGTATATATATTTTTTAAGCTTTCTAGTACATTTAGCATTTCAAGGAACCCAAAAGAGGAAAAAAGATAGCAAAGAACGGGTTTTCAAACCGTCTTTTTTTTAATCCCCATTTAAGAAAGTGGCAACTTTTCAAAGGAAAGAGATTGATTTCAGCTTCTGTAGTACTTAGAGAAGAAACAGAAGAAAGAGATGATTCCTGCTCTTTTCAGATACAGTCATTCCTCACATCGCAAAACATACCACAGCAAAAACCAGGCAGGGCACATAACCATAACTACCTTACTTTACAAAAAGAAGTATATCCATCCAGGTGAGTGAAGGGAAATCACCTACAGTGAAATTCGGCTGATTTTCAAGGTAAAGAGGAACCATGGACAGCTATACTTTCTCTGGGAAATCCGTAAGATTTAGAGCTGGATAGGAAAAAAATCACTGAATCGTATTGCTCTCTGGTATGCTAATAATTCGGAGACGTGTTTATCTCTGGTTGAAGTATAAGAAACAGCAGCAACACTGCGCTTATTCTCTGAAATTGCCAACAATCAGGTAATCTCAGACCACACAGGAATGCACAGCACCAGGGGACCTGTTAAAGATACAGTCACAGCGCTCACCCTGGACTTCCTGAATCCTTGTCTGCATGTTAATGACACTATGTGTGCTCAAATTGAGCAGCCATACTCAAACACACAGGCACATGAACACCCAGAACATGAACAATAAGAGTAGCCCTATCCAAATCCAAAGTGACCTCACTATCATTTACCACTAGGCTACACCAACTCAGATGACTGGTTGGGGAAAGAATTTACTGTAAGTCATTTTTCTTAAGCACTTTAATGTAATGAAGGACTATGGTTCTTAACTCCCCTGGCCCATATGGCAGTAAGAATATTTATTAAAAAAAAAAAAATCTCACCAGACATGGTGGTGCATACCTGTAATCCCAGCACTTGGGAAGATCACTACAAATTCCAAGCCAGCCTGGACTACATACTGAGTTCAAGACCAACGGAATTACATAGCAAGGGCCATGTCAAGAACAAATGAACAAACAAACAAACAAACAAACAAAAAAAAAAAGCCCAGACCTAGTCTTAGGCCTTTGGAACAATGAAAAAAAAGGATAAAGGTACTCTAATTCCTATCATCTTGTTTTTTGAAATTCTGTTTCATTTCTAATGTTTTCTCTATCAATGCGTATTCTCTTTAAAATAAAACTTTAGCCCAGCCCAGGAGCATGGGTGAGACCCTCTTTCACCCCCATGGGACGCACCTGACCATTCCACAGCACCTCCCCCACCCCACCCTCCGAGTAGGACTTTCTGGCCCGTTCCGGGAACCCCCGGTTCCTGTACTAGCCCAGGCCCAGTGAGTGTGTGGGAGAGGTGCCACTCCTCCCACTCAACCTTGTCCCCTCCAGACTCAGCTCAGGCCTGGCATACAGCCTGGGGTGAAAGCCTGAAGCTGCAATTTCTGCAGAGAGTGTAGGGGACAGAACCACTCAGCTAGTCCAGCAGCAGAACATCTTGCCAGAGGGGCACAACAGTTTCACCCCCAAGGGCAGCAGCAGGAAGGAGCTAAGCACAGCAGCCAGACCCAAGCCAGGCACAGTTGGATAAATCCAAACTTTGTAGATCTGCACCTGAACTTCAGTAGGTGCTAAAGTTATAACTGCAACAAAGATCTACAAGAAAGATCAGAAGACAGTGCTACACAAACTGACAACAAGATGGAACAAAATGCAATCTCAGAAACCAAGCCCACCCATAACAAGTGCAGAGGACACTAACACAGAACAAGTTGGGAATCACAACTCAAAGCAATGAATCAACGGCTTCTGAAATAAAGAAACAGCTGCAGAAAGGTATAGAGGAACTCGGATTGGAAATGAAAAAAGAAATCCCTGAATTAATAACATCTGCAGCAAAGAATCAGAAGAACAAACATATGAAGGAAACCCAATGGCCAACCAGAACAACTGCAGAGAACACTAGCTCAGCTCAAATGGATGAATTAATAGCGTTGATAGTAAATAAGCAATAGAAGAAATTTATAGAGGAACTCAAAGTGGAACCTTCTGAAATACGAAAAGAATTCTCTGAACTCATAGTATCTGAAGTAAAGAATAAACTACAAAAAATAGGGACTAAAACCAGTTTGAAAAAAACACTACAGTAAAAGAATTTATAACTGCTTCTAAAGAAGACATTGATAAAAAAAAAAATAGAGGAAATTAGAAAAATCACAGATTCCTAGAATGAGCAATACAGAAAAGAAATAGATCGCATGAAGCACAGTCAAAGAGATATAGAGGAATTTAAAATCTCGATCACAAACTAGCAAAATCGTTTAAGTGAAAGAGAACACAGAATCTCAGATCTTGAAGACATTGGTGCAGCTAGTGAAAAGGTAAGAAAAGATCTCTTAAAAACAACTAGGATGCTGGAAAAAATAATCCATCACTTGCAAGATGATGCAAAGATGAACAATGTGAGACTAATAGGCATCAACGAGAAAGAAGGAGTCAATATAAATGACATTAAAAAATATGGGCAGAAGTAATAGCAGAAAACTTCCCAAATATGAGGAAACAATTTGACATTCAGGTAACTGAAGCATACAGAACGCCAAAGAACCTCAACCCAGTGGAAAACACGCCAAGACAAAAGACATATAATAGTCAAGATCCCAGAAATTCAGCACAAGAATAATCTACTGAAAGCCGCTAGAGAAAAGAAGCAGATCACATTCAAATGAAAACCCATTGAATTACGGCCAACTTCTCTTCACAAACCATGAAGGAAAAAGAGCATGGAGCAGAGTACTTCAAGTCCTCTATGAAAACAAATTCCAGCCTAGACTACTATACCCTGCAAAACTCTCTTTCAAGTTCGATGGAGAAGTGAAATACTTTCAAGACAAAGAACAACTAGAGAATTTCATGATGGCAAAACCAACCCTACACAGACTACTGAAAGATGTTCTAGAGTGGGACCAAAATGATCAGAACTCCACGACTGAGATCAGAAGCAACCAACTAAATAGGGCAAGCAAGTAAATACAGGAGAAAAGGAGTAAAAGACAACAGGAAAATAACATGTCAATCGTAAGTCAATACATCTCAATTCTAACAATCAATGTACATGGACTCAATTCACCAATTAAGAGAAATAGACTGGCACAGTGGATTAGGAAACAAAAACCAACAAAATGCTGTATACAAGAAACATATTTAACTTATAAAGATATTCACAGGCTGAAAGTCGAAGGATGGAACACAATACTACATGCCCTAGCACATCAGAAAAAAGGACGGTAGCAATCCTATTCTCAGACAGTCGCAACTGCAAACCAACAATGATCAAGCGAAATAAAGAAGGCCACTATATACTGGTTAGGAGAAAAATTCAAGAGGAAGAGGTAACACTCATAAATACGTATGCACTAAACACGGGAGCACCCAA